CCAACTACACCTTTATTTTCAAGGTGGCCTGAACAGAGTGTTTTAGGGCAGCAAACCCTGGTCTCAGGCCACCTTGAATGTAGCCCGAAAACCACAGCTTTGAAGCCTCATGCGCGCCATACCTGGGAACAGAATTGTAGCTACCCTGGGTCCGTATAAATACTATGTTGCTATACCTCTTACACACTTATACAAGTTCAAAGCACGAATGAGACTTCAAAGCTGTGGATTGCTGTGCGTGTGTAGAGGTTATCGAGCGGTTGACGGAAAGGGAACTCGAAGTACTATACCTGGTAGCTGCACTATAGCTACCCTGGGTCTCTATACCTGGCAAGGTGCCAACTACACCTTTCCATTCAGATGATGCAAATGATGCAGATTGCATTTCTTGCATCACCACCCCTCGAAAATCACCTCCAACACAACCTCAAAAACCCTTCCCTCGACGCACCCTCCTCCCCCAGCATGTGCCGAGTTTACGTGTACCTTTCCCGGGCCACCCCCTCCAGACCCCCCAACTACTCACTTCGTTCGCCAAACACAACTCCGCTAGCGCCTTCTACGAAGGCTGGCTTTCGTAATTATACATTGGATTGTAGTGAGCATAGGCACGAATTCCTCAACCTCTGCGATGCCCTCGCACGCGCAGGCACACGCGCGCGCGCGGGTGTGTGTGTGTGTGCCATGGGGAGTCACTGATATCTCTGTTTTTTTTTGCATGTCCTTTGAAGTTGTTAGAAAGAGAACTTGATGCCAGGACACTGCAAGTCTGGCACTAACAAAGACACTTGCAAAGGTCTATGACTGTGATATCAATTGACGCACCCGCGTGAAGATGTAATGACTTCTGACTCCCTTTTTTGGTCCCGCTGTAATTAGAACGGTATCTCCAGCCTTTCCATTCGTTTACATTCTGCAGACGAGTGCTCGTCGATCGCTCCGCTTCGTTGGATCATGTGGAACTTTCGGAACTTAGAACCTTTTGGCGGTTAGACGCCGTTCCACTTCACCCCTGGTTATTTAATTTAACTAAGCCTGTTGAAATACTTGGGCAGCTTCAGGGCAAGTGGTTTTCAGACCGTACATATACTATATATAGATATATTATATACAAATATATATCCCGTGTGCGCCCGCGAATGGAATCTCAAAACTCAGCGCTAGGTGGATCACGCGCCGTTTAACATTGAGGAACCGTCTAATTCACTCAGCCATGGGCACACACTTAGCTGCCGCATTTGCAATGAAAACAATGTGATGTCAGTTTTCCTGGCTCATTTGTCAAATGAATGCTATCCACGGCAAGCGACGGCGAATGCACTGAAAATGCAAAAAGGTCTACACAGCCCAAGTGGGCCCTTGAGTACTCACAAATGATCTATCAGGTCGCCCAAAGCAAAGGACATGTGTTGGGAGCAACTTAGAGCGGTGCCCGTGCTAGGCCGTGAGCATCCAGTAGGCGGCAGAGCATCACAGCACCTCAGGAAGCCCATTGCGTTCACATACAATATATCGAGGAGAAAACTCTGCTCTTGCAACTATAATATCATTTCAGAATTGGGAAGCAATGGCTTGAAAGTTGCTCACACTGCCCAGCTGTCATTCCTCTCACAACACTTATCTGCGCAGCAAAAATAACAATTGGAAAAAATGGCAAGGGACTGAATGGTAACGGCTTCATTGAAAAGTCAAGGCAGGGCGGTTTAAGCGCAGATCTGAGGGGAGGCTGAAGCCGAATCCACTTGCCCGACTTGCCCTGTGTAAAAGCAATGGCCTCTACCCCAATAGCGACGGCCTCCAACCTAGTTGCGATGGCCTCCACCCTAATAGCATGTAAATATTGTCTGCGCTGTTGTGTCTTTTCGTTGAGTTTTTGCTGCAGTGTCAATAGCATGCAACACCGGGACCATAGCCTTGCAGTCAAAACACTCTGACAAAAAAAAATAGAACTTCAGAATGTGTGTCCTTTTTCGGAAAAAATATATATTTGACCAAAATGCTGGTGTGATGCGTGCTGTGCTCCTGTGTTGTTGTGATCTGCGATGCATTTTGTGGCGTGCACTTCCACAAAAACTGTGCGTTGTTTTTCTCTAGAACCTCTTTTGTATTGCACCCTGTCCATTGATTTCCCTGGAAACTTGCGCCATGTTAACTTTCAAATGACAATATCCTGGTCGCGTTTGATCGCTTGATACCGCTTGGAGTGGTGTGTCGGGCAGCGCACTGGTGCTTCTGGCGTTCCGATCACAACCGCTTTGCTTTGGCCAATCTCATCTTGCAATAGTTGCTATGGCTATTCTCGGAATGCTGAAATGCTGACATCCCTCTCATATGTGTGTGTCTGTGTGTGTGCCCCTTGTAGTCACAGGGATTCTTTTGAATTCTTTTTCTCTTACATCAGCAGGGGCCCATGGACACTTGGATGGCATGGGCCAACGAAGACCCATCCAAGCTGTCGTAAAAACGTTTGGTGCACCTGGGCGCATTGTAAGACGGAGCTGGTGGCCACCTTTCTTCTTTTTCTTTTTGTAAAGTGCTAATGCATCGGCAGTCATGCACGGAACGTCGTCATCCCGTCGGCTCGTCGCTTCGTGGCCTTTAACTACAGGCGCGCAGCCCCCCCTTACCTGGCTTTTCAGGATTTGGTTTCTTAGGCCGGCGTGTGGCACCGCTGTCAAGTCCATACGCATATCCATAAGTGTGTCTGGCCTCGCGCCAGTCCGGGATGAGCCCGTAGAGTGCCTCCCGTGGACCCGTCGAACGGGTGTCTGTCGAACGTATCCCCTGCCCGGATACAGAGCAGCTTGCAGCGAGCGTAGGTGGCCTAGGCCGAGAGAACTCAGATTTTTGTCTCATCTTTGGAATTCCAAGTTGGCTCACGGCTTTACGTGACCGCAGCGGTCAAAGCAGCCAGCCATTTTGGCAAGGCACAAGGTGACCATGACCATAGCGGTCAAAGCAAGTTTAAGGTTCATTGGAACCTGTCGAGAGCTTAGTCCCCCCTCCTTCCCCTTCCCTCCCACTTTCTTTCTTTGCTTTCTGGGGTTTTCCTGAATGGAATACTCAGGATCACCCCTCTCTTTCTTTGGTGTGTCCCTGGACGATTGTTCGTAGCTGGGAACACCTGCCTTTTTCATTTTCTCTCCTCTCCCTTTCTCTCCCTCTCTCTTTCTTTCTTTCTTTCTTTCTTTCTGTCTTTCTGTCTTTCTTTCTTTCTTTCTTTCTTTCTGTCTTTCTTTCTTTCTTTCTTTCTTTCCTCTCTTCACCTTCCTTCTTCCTTGGGTGTCCCTGGATGCTTTCGTCATAGCTGGGAACCCTTCTCCTCTCTTCTTTTGGTGTGTCCTTGGACGCTTGTGTCGTGGCTGGGAACACCTTCCTTTCTTCTCTTTCCTTTTTCTCTTCTCTTCTCTCCCTACCCCTCCCTCCTGTCGGGACCTTAGAGTGGGATACTGCTAGGGGCTCCTGGCCTTCCTACTAGGTGCTCGCTACTTTGACGCTACTAGGGGTTCCTGGCCTTACTACTACTCTGTCGGCACCTTAAATATGCCTTTTGTCGGGGAGGCGTGTGTGTGTGTGTGTGCCCCTTGTAGTCACAGGGATTCTTTTGAATTGTGAAGGTAGTCACAGGGATTCTTTTGAATTCTTTTTCTCTTACATCAGCAGGGGGCCCATGGACACTTGGATGGCATGGGCCAACGAAGACCCATCCAAGCTGTCGTGAAAACGTACCTGCTTGGTGCACCTGGGCGCATTGTAAGACGGAGCTGGTGGCCACCTTTCTTCTTTTTCTTTTTGTAAAGTGCTAATGCATCGGCAGTCATGCACGGAACGTCGTCATCCCGTCGGCTCGTCGTTTCGTGGCCTTTAACTACAGGCGCGCAGCCCCCTTTACCTGGCTTTTGAATTTGGTTTCTTAGGCCGGCGTGTGGCACCGCTGTCAAGTCCATACGCATATCCATAAGTGTGTGAAAGCGTGTGCAAGACCGATGAGGGTACTGCAGGCAGAGCTTGGATGAGCAAACCAAGTTTGCAGTGCAAAGAGACATACGGCACGTGTTGACAAGATAAAGTTTGCATGTGCTGCACACAGTTGCAAGGGCACGTCCGTGCTGAAAAGGCTAAAATAAGTCCACAAGGATGTGAAATATAGAACCGACATGAACCAACATGGTACAGCAGGGGCAAAGCTAACAACGGTGTTTGGGGAGCTCAATGGACTGGTATGCAGAAGCTGTGCCCTGCAAGACTGGAATCCACATTCATGTACATGTTCACAAGTGCAAATGACTCGCGAGGCAAGTGACTATTGAAGTGAAGGAAGGCGTGTTGTAACATCATTGACTGCAAGGTAAGGCACAGAAATGACAGGCAAATGACAAACCCCCGTACCTTTTGGACAGTTCACTTTTCGCCGTAGTTCACTAAAAAGGATACATATTCTGACTCTACGGACCTGACGAGATCTTCTGCAACCCAGATTCTGTTTGAAAGACCGAGATCCGATCAGGGGTGACTAGTGAGGCTTGGTAAATGTTGCTGTGGGTTTTGGCAGATTAGATGCGCGCATGAAGATGTACTCAAAGGGAGGGAAGGCAATACCGATTTGACTTCTCGTGAGTCCTGCAACCACATCTAGAGCTCTCTATCCCGTTCCTTCTGTCTAACCCTTATCCCCGGAGGTGAGGCATGATGACCTGCAGCGCATGACCAGAGTGGCCTTGCCCTCCCATGCTTCCTTCGTGGATCGTTCCTCTCTCCTCCGGTCGTTTCATCCTGCATGACTCTCAGTAAATTTGGTGTTCAGCAAATTTGTCAGTAAGCTTTACCTCCAAACACCACACCAGTCAATCCTCATCCCTACAGATGCGTCTTACCCAGCCCACAAGGATGCCCTAGCTCTTGTGGTCGCTTGCTAGTTCCAAACAAATTTAGGCTGCTCCAAACCAATCCAAAACACTGAAAGGCCCAATCCCGCCAAAATCTTCTATGCTCTGAAGCCCCCTGCGGCTTTGAGGTTAGCACTGGACATCTTTCCTTTTGGCGGATGAACAGGGCACCTTCAAACATAGAGTGGTAGAGAGTCCACAAAAAATTGTAATCAAAACAAACTAAAGACAACTGAACTGATGTTTATCAACATGTTTCTAGTGAATAGGTAATCAATGAAATCCTAAATGCTGATAATAACAATATATAGACAACTTTCTGTCCATCCAATTTGTCATTTTGCCTTTGTCTGTTCGTCTCTTGATTTTATGGAAAAACTTAGCAAAATGAAAAAGTGAATTGTATATGCTTGGTGATTCTTTATCATATATTTTTGGCCAGCAGAGTTATATAAATATAAAGACGTTGTAAAAAAATATAAAACCATAGAATCTATCATTACCATATCACATCTTAATGTTTGCAGATTTCATGTGGAGAAAACTACGAGTATGAACAACACCAATATTCTAGTGTGCAAATAAGTGTGTTTTTTACAGTATATTACATTAAAGCATTGGCTGACCTTCAAACATATTTCAAAATCTTGCCAGTGGGCTGATCCTGCTGGCCTGAAGCTTGGACTAGGTGAACTGCCATCGTGGCCAAACATTTACCCCGAGATACCAGGTCGCCACCATGACCTGGTTCTCCAAACGCTTGTGGACGCACCCTGTTCAGACCTTCGGTGAATGATTCCCTGCCATCTGCACCTGAACCTTCTCCGCGTCCGTAGCCATCTGCAGAGGCATCAAAGGTAAAGGACCTCCCCCTCGGCGAGAGCCTCAGGCACTGGGGTAAAATTGGATCATAGATCATGACACTGAGATTGCACATGTAGAAAACAAGTTGATAAAGAAAGGACACGACTCGGAAGCAAACACATATGGGAAAATTCAACATTGTCTTGGATCCAAAGCATTTACTGTCACAGGCCTCTTGAAAGGCAAGTGAACTGACGACGACATGGATGTGCCTGTGTAACAAACAGAGAAACGAGAACACCAACATCTTTGTCGCGGGTTGCATACAACGTCATGGAAGCCACTGGAAGACAGGTCTCATGGACTTGGTTTGTGTGCAGCATTGTAAAAAGGTGGTGATGGTGGTGGTTGTGGTGGTGGCAGTCGTATTCGTAGTCGTAGTCGTAGTAGTCGTGGTAGTCGTAGTCGCAGTAGTAGTAGCAGCAGCAGCAGCAGTAGTAGAAGTAGGAGGAGGACAGTAACAGCAACAGCAAAAAACAGGAACAGTAACAGCAACAGTAGTAGCAACAGTAGTGGCAACAGTAGTAGCAACAGTAGTAGTAACAGTGCTAGTAACAGTAGAAACAACAGTAGTAGTAACAGTAGTAGTAACGGTAGTAGTAACGGTAGTAGTAAGAGCAGGAACAGTAGTAGGAACAGTAGTAGGAACAGTAGTAGTAGTAGTAGGAGTACCAGTAGTAGTAGTAGGAGTACCAGTAGTAGTAGTAGGAGTAGTAGTAGTAGTAGTACTGTAGTAGTAGTAGTTGTTGTTGTTGTTGTTGCTGCTGTTGTTGTTGTTGTTGTAGGAGTAGGAGTAGGAGTAGGAGTAGTAGCAGTAGTAGCAGTAGTAGCAGCAGCAGTAGCAGTAGTAGTGGTTGATGAAAAATAATGAAAAATAAGAAGGTGTTGGTCTGATGGACCTGATATGTGGCACTGCCACTGGAACGTTAGTTGTAGACCAATTGCTAACGCAAGCTACCACCATCTGCCACCTAGCAAAAACAACAATGGTTGAAGACCGTTCGCCCATTTCAATCTGCCAAACAGAAGTGACTGGAGAAATGGATGTGAAGCAGCTGCGTACCGCCTATATATCTGAAAGTTGGCACTAACACAGGCCAATGATTGGCTGAGCAATCATAAGCTCACTTTGCACCGGGCTCTAACGGGCTTGGACGTCACAGCGGTAAAAACTCTTGGTTGGTGAGGTCCTGTCTGCTTGCCTCCACGTAGATCCACACTATCTTTGTGGAGGCGAATGTGCAGGGCTACGTCCAAGTTTTAGGACAAATGGAACCAAAAAGGAGATCCGCTATATAGTGGCCGACTGCCCTTGCGTTTCAAAGGAAAAGGAGAAGCTACTTGACCTTTGCTTCTTTGACGAAGAGGTTCAGAAGGAGTTTTGCAATTATAGCCAGAGTGATGCAATCCAAAGGGTTGGTCTTTTGCGCTACCCTGCCAAACGTTTGGTAGAGCAACCGCGACCCCAGCTAGCAAAGCTAGCATTCGTGACAAGAACAGTTAAAAGAAGAAACTAAATCAAAAAGAAAGAAACTGATACAGTATATTTTGGCCTTGTCCAAGTTCTGAGATTCAAAAAGCTGTTGTCTAATTGGACTTGCCCTCTTCTTGAAATTGCTGAGGAAAACACATACGCGGTTTGCTGAAGCTGATGAAGGTTGCCGGGCTGGCCATGACCTCGTGAAGCCAATTGTGGATCTACAGGTGGGAGTTGCTCTTCTTTGTCAGTGTGTCTGGATCCATCAGCACGATTGTTCTCACTACTCGTGGATCCGTGGCAAAATTCCACAAGCTATCAGAAAGTTCGGGAAGAACTGTAAGGAAGTGTGCTTGGCAGTTCAGTATTCCAGAAAGTGCAACAAACTGCAAGTACCAGGCACGTAGCAACTAGCTACGCTGCTATGCTACTTGCTCAAATACTCTGCGGGTCGGACGTTTGCAGCTGCGCTCACGGCAGCACTGCATCGTCCCCGTCGAAGATTCATCGAAGCACTGTCCACAGCTACCTTGCCACATTTGCAAGCATTAACAAGTGCCACGCTAGTAGTAACAGGTGCCTTACTAGTAGTAACAAAAAGCTATTAAAATTGCCACAAGCATCATATGAATCATATGTCCCAAAATGCTGTGTACTGCTGTGGCATTAACCGGTTTAAGTTTGCTTTAACTCTTTCAAGTGGCCAAAGCGGAAGAGCAGGCAGTGTCAATCACGTACGCTGGGCCCTTCAGCCCAAAGCAATACGCAACACCTGAGCCGTTTCGCATTGCTTTCCAACCCAAAGCTGTCATTCAATCATCCATATGTTCCTTTCTTGGTTTTTCCGCTTGATGGCTTTGATCCAAATTCCTGGAACTTCAACTAAGAAAGTGGCGTGCGGCCGCCACGGAAGCTGAGGTGCCAGTGGCGGTGTAGGGATTGATTTTGCCTCATGTTTGTTGACCGGGTATGCGAATCTGAACTCCTCATCAAAGGCTCAGCTTGACACGGATGTCGCCACTTTGGACTTGGATCCAATCATTGTTGGACAGGCCAATGATGACAGCAACGCTGCTATCCACCAATGACTGGCGCTTGGTGTTTGGCAGTTCTAGACTTGCTAGACTTGCTAAATGTTCATTGATCCCAATCATAAGCACTTGTTCAATGCCAATACATCCTCCTCGCCTCCTGCTTCATGTTGCTGTCCAGCATGGAGTCACAACATGTCTCCAGCACCTCAAAACAACACAAACAAGCAACTATATACTTTACATATATACTTTAAGCTATATATCTGTAGGAGGTTGAATTCTTGGTTTTGCGCTGCAAGCTTGTGAGTCAGTTGCCAAGCAACGTCCCAAAGACACTCCTTCCAACTAGATTCAGCCACGGAGCCAGTCTTTGTTGCGGGTCCATTGCTCGTGCCTGTTGCCCAAGTCTCAAGGCCCCTTCAAAGCATTATGGGGTGCATTGACCAAAGCATGCATGCGTGGAGGTCGGCTTTTGACCTGAAAAGTTGTGCCCAAAAGCAATTAGACACCAAGCTGAGCTTGGCCGGATTTATATGGTAAGAGTGGGTGGGTCAGGACGGATTTCGGTCTTAAGAGGCCTGTGCAAGAAACTGTTGGCTCAAATTTTGCCAGCATGTGGCCATACTCGCTCGAATTCAAGAATAGATTCATCAAAAGGCTTAAGTAGTTTAGCGTCTTGAACGCGGCTCAACTGAAAATGAACGTGACACGCGCATTGGCAGCACGCCTCCGGTGCTGAAATGTTAAAGAATGATGCTGCAAAGTCTTCAGCACCCTCAATGAATGCTGCATGGCGTGGGTACATCTTGCCAGGCCTGGCTGAGCAAATCACTTTTGGATGCTCGTTCTTTGGAAGATGTTCAGGTGTACCGAGGTGCCAAGCTACTTTCGAACTCAGGCCCCGTCGCATCTGGGTTCGCATCATAGTATTCATCGAGCTCCCACCGGGTGAATGGAACCTGCACAAAATGCAGGAACTGAAGATTGAAAAAATGGCAACGCTTTCTTGGCGAAAAAAACATAAATAGATTTCTATCTATACGTCAAACTGGATTTTGGCGTCTTTGGCACCATCGCCTCAACAACTCCATCGGTGCCAAGCTTGAGCAATGCCCCGAACTTTGCAGGAGCATCAGCTTCACCTCCCAATGGATGGTACCAGGGAATGATCATAAGTGCGGAACATCATAGTTTTGGCAGTCAAATGCCAAAAAAAAAATATATATATATATATAAGCACAAGAGTCCAAAGGTCCCAGTGTTTCAGACACTTTCACCTGTGTTGTTCTTTCTTGTCTTGCCTGGGAATGCGCATGCACTCCCAATGATTGCCAGCGGCTCATCAGGAGATACCCGCGTCTTCCCCGCTATTTGTTGTTGTTTGGGCTGAGAAGACTCAGCTGCATAGCCTGCCACCGCCTTGGAGGTAAACATCCTTAGCCACCTTTTGAAAAACTCGTTTCTTTCGACCATCAGCTGGGGAAGCCGCGGACAATGTTGGGTAGTCGAAGACCAAAGTGCTCGGGAGTCGAATTCCAGGAAGCTCCGCAGCTAATCTGTCAAACATCAAGTGATGCAACATCACTCGGGTGGAACTGGCTGCTGAGTCCAAAACCGGGCACTGAACTGCACGGCAGCTTTGGAATCCATTCCCGAGTCCAGCAGAGGTCGGTCTGCCTGCGAACTGCGTTTTGAAGTTCTACATATGTCTGCCCTAAACGTCGATGAAACATTCGCAATAATCAACTTATGACGTTTATACATGTGTATATATATATAATTGACGCAACTTGAAAAGGGTGGAAGCTAAATGGGCGCGTCATTGGGTGATCAATGGCAATGGTTGGTGGTCTGACCAAATGTGCGATACGGAATAGTGGAGCTCCGTTGGGACACTGTTCTGACGCAATTGAGATTAATTCTGTGCAAACCTTCATGCAAGCGCTCCACTGGTTCGAGCGGGGTACCCTCCCCACCTTTCCAGACCCTATGTCCAAAGGCTTTGGATTGCCTCCATCTGAAATGCGAGAATGTCCAACCGCTCACTCACAGTGAAAGCTTATCCAGGTGGCTTTGATTCCAAGAGTGAAACCGTGGATTTCTCCACAGGTGAAAATGGTGAAGTGGTAGGTCCTACCACGCAGAAAGATCGCGGTTCGAAAGATCACGATTTGGTAGGTATTGAGATGATACTGTTCACCACCAGTGCGGTGGTGGCTCCTACTGCAAGTCAAGCGGCACAAGTCTGCCAACGGTGAAGTGGGTGTATTCACCACTCGTGAAGGACAAAGGTCAAATGGTTCCACCCTTTGTCAAGGCCAATCTGGCCAACAGAGAATATGATACAGGCCCGTATGATGACAGGATTTTGTGATCGTGCGGCGATATATATATATATTATAGAGATCAATATGTTGCGCAGTCGCAGTCACACTGTGCCCAGGAGAGATCGAACATAAAGCCATGCTGACGGCTGAGAAAATGAAAGAAACTTGCTTTGCAATACAAACCCAAGATAGCACTGTCAAAGGAACTCTTCGAACGACTAGACTAGAGCACTACATCACCAGAAGGGCGTGTACTTGTAGAACCTTCGGGGCACGATTGGTCCCCATTCTATTTCTAATATTAAACGATGGGCCGGTTCGTTTTTGCTTTTCTACTTCCTCTTCGTAACGTAACTCACCACGTGATTACGAGATCTCCATGGCCTTGGGGAAGCAAACCCCAGAAGAAAAGAAGGGCCTCCACATTAAAGCCAGCACATTCAGCTGCGATCTTGGTCATCAGCTCAAGCAGCTTCTCTTTTGACTCGTTTAGCTCGATGTTCGGCTCTTTCTCTGACATCTTGGTGTGCTCTGATGCACCTTGAGCCGGACAAACTCAAAAGGATTGGGGCGATTATGCCCTGCAACCGTATCCAGGCCTGGTGACGGCGCAGCCTTGCCGGGATGAAATCTCAAAAAGCACAAAGTATGTAAGTTGCGGCTAACATGTCCAATGAACAGAGTGACTCCACTGCAACGATGGAGTTAGAGCACAAGGGGCAACAGTGAATAAAGGGCAGTGTGTAATGACAAGATACGATGCGTCTTGGTTGCAAACAATCGGCATATTTTGTCAGGAGATTAGGAAAACACTTGGAGCATTCCAAGTTACTGGTGGGTGGAGTTGCAGCGAGTCCCTCAGCGAAAAATGACAGGGATGTATATATATATATATATCGGGCCAAAGAGATACTGTAGCAAACAGGCGAGAGGGGGGTAACCGAAAAGCATTTAAAGGAAGGTGTCTTTTCCTCTGGAATACACAAAATCCAAAAACGCAGGTGAGACTACATAACCAAGACTGCGGAAGGCTACTGGAAGTGTTGAAGGAGCCCAGAAGTGGTTGCGAGTTCTAATGCAAAACCGCAAAACCAAATGAGACCGCAGTGGCTTTGAAACCACAATCTAGACTGCCCAGGTTGGAGGCCATTGGGTTGGAGGCCATCATATAGAGTTGTGTTGGGCGATGGCAGCCATACATGGCCAACCATCAAATAGTTTTTTTGATAAAAAAGTGGAAAAAAAACAAAATAAAAGCAACAAAGCAAAAACAAAGCAAAAAACAAAAACAATGAAAAACAAAAGCAAATAACAAAGCAAAAACAAAACGCAATAATAGGCAAAAAAACAAAAAGATGTAGCCGTGCGTATTTGTCGGTTTTTCACGTTTTTTCGCTTTATTTTCGTATTTGTTCGCGTTATTTTCGCAGTTTTTCGTGTTTGTTCGTTTTTTCCTAGGAAGGTACAGCAAAAACAAAAGAACAAAAACTGTACCCTCCTAGGAAAAGGCGAAACAAATGCGAAAATAAAGCGAAAAAATGCGAAAATAAAGCGAAAAAAAATGGAAAAAAAACGACAAATACGCACAGCTACTTTGTTTTGCTTTTTTGTTTGCTTTGCCTTTTGGTTCTTTTTGCTTTGTTTGTGCTTTATAAAACTATTTTGGCTCCTTGTATCTATGGCTGGCGTGCCCGACATAAATATAGAGATTGGAGGCCATCCCTACTCAAATGAAGTTTGGGGTGCAAAACTACTACTACTACTACTACTCCTACTGCTACTGCTACTGCTACTGCTACTCCTACTCCTACTCCTACTCCTACTACTACTACTACTACTACCACTACCACTACCACTACTACTACTACTACTACTACTACTACTACTACGAATACCACCACTGCTACTACCACTACCACTACTACCATTACTACCACTACTACTACTACTACTCCTACTACTACTACTATTACTACTACTACTACTACTACT